AAAAAACTAAAAAATTAGGGCATGGTGGCATGTGCCTGTAGTCCCAGCAACTTGGGAGGCTGAGGTGGAATGATCACCTGAGCCCAGGAGGTCAAGGCTGTGGTGAGCCATGTTTGTGCCACTGTAATACATCCTGGGTGACACAGTGAGACCCCCAACTCAAAAAAACAAAAACGAAAAACAAAACAAGAACAGGATCTGGCTAAGATTCCGAGGCTAGTCTTGAACTCCTAGGCTCAAGTGAGACTCCTGAGTAGTTGGGATTACAGGCACATGCCATGGTGCCCAGCAAAACATCCCATTCTTGTCTCCTTGGTAGGATGATAAACTTCTTGAAGGAGCTGTGGCTTTTATTTTTTTCTTACTAGGGCCCTAGGAGGTATGCTGTAAAAACGGAAATAGTGACCCTTATTGTTTCAAATTTGGTAAATTTACAATTTATACCTAAGAATGCCACTGCCCACATCACACAGCCCCCAACATGCAACAAGTCACAGAGAATGTACCTCCAACCTCCCCATACCCATCACCTGCTTCTCCATGTGCAACAAACCAGTGCTCTTTTATGTCCAAAGATCACATCTGTGATGCTGTCTCTGAATCAAGACTCCTACAGGTGTCTCCTACAGGACCCTGTGCATAACTTCTCTCAGCATATTTTATTATAATGGTGCTCGTCTATGTGTCTCACCATTAGCCTATTAGTTCCTTGTGGATGAAAACTGTCTTCTCTGTATGTTTAACATATGGCATTAGTACACAGTAGGTGCTCAATAAATGCTCGTCGAAGGGAGGAATGAATCCATGCAAACCACACAAGTAGGCTCCAGGGTCCTGCAGGCAGGATGGGTGCGTGATTGCAGCACAGAGACTGAGGCTGCAGCCACCAGATCCGCAGAATTCCATCAGAGTCCTGGGGAAGCCCAGCTCTGCCTCAGAGAGTCCAGGGCTAGAAGAGCGTGGGCTGGAGAAGCTCTGGGGGGAATGCTGGGGAAAGTCCGGGAGCCAAAAGGGGGATAAGGGAGGCTCTCTTGAGCAGAGGGATGCTGAACGGGGCGTGGGGGGGGGGCGGTCCCCAGCAGGGAGTTGCCACCACCAGCTGAGTCACCCCCAGGGTCCAGGAACCGTCCTTCACCGTCCCGGCTCTGGACTCCCACCCTTGCCCCTCTGCTGTCGCCGTGCACCCCAAAGAGGCCGGCTGGGCCTTCAAGTACAGAAGATTCTACCTCGAGTTCGGACAAGAACACCAGGCAGCACCACACACCCCACCCCCCACGCAGCAGCGGCGGGGAGCAGGCTCAGCCGGCGGCCTCGGCGGCCCCGACGTCCGCCCCCTCCTCCCCCTGCTGGCCGTTCTGGAGCCTGCGCACGATGCGGGTGAGGTCCAGGCTTCGCGTCAGCGTGTCCAGGAGCATCTGGTCCTTCTGCACGCCCTCGATGAACTCTTCCAGGGAGAGCTCCCCTGGGGTAGAGAGAAAGGGGGCCATGGGAGGGGGCCGTTCACGCCTGCAAGGGCCTGGGACACAGCAGTGCCGGGGAAGTGGCCCGAGGGGGCGGCAAGCCGAGAGATCCAGAGCCTGGGCCAGGGAGCCCTGAAAGCCCCCCCTGTGGCTGGGGCAG